TTCCTGCTCCTCTGATGCTGCTTGGCCTGCTGTGTTCATCCAGCTCTACACCTTGTTATCTCAGATTCTCCAGGATCGGCAGTTCCTACTATCTCTGAGCCAATGTAAACCTTGCAGCGGACAGGTGATCATGCTGACCAGGGTGATCCCAGCACACGTCACCTATCAGCACACCGGCTCTCCATTCTCCTGCCACTCCAACTCTCCCATCAGCGCTGGGAGTCAATGCTAGTCTTTCAGATGGTGAACGAGTGTCTGATAAAAGAATGCTCCCAGTATCTACACTACAGCAGGGCCACTCACCTCCATACCCTGCTTTCAGATCATTATAGGACCAGTTATTGCATATTGCCCAGTGTTTGAGTCAGCTCCCTCTGAGTCACTGCTTGTTGTGGGTATTAAGCTCCATGAACCAATTCAACTTTACAGCTACAATCCAGGAGATGGCTTTTGGCCCATTGTGCCTGTACTAGACCTTTGGAAGAACTTTCCAATCGTGTGTTCCCGCACAGCCCCGTTTCCTTTATCCCCAAGTGTGCACTTCTGCCCGAGATCTATTTGGAGGCGTCACCTTGTCAAAGTCTTCCTGTGTGGCTCGCATCTCCTTCCACGTCTTGTTCAACAGTTGGATGCACACGCAAAACAGCTCCTCAAAAACCTTGTCTTGGGCGAAGAACATGGGGTAGAAGTCTTGCCCTGTCTCCGAAGCTGCAAAGGAGAAAGAGACACGTTTTGGGAAGGGCAGTGGTACCATGGGCACTCGAGGCTTCTTAGTTTTAACATCTCACTTTCACCCTGGTCAACACTAACCCATTTGCCAAGGAAGTAGCAAGTTGATACAAGCTGATAAGCTGCTGAAAAACTGAAGTCCTGCTCACACAGCCAAGGGGAATCTAAAAGGGGAAAGGTTGGTCATCGATTCATGATAGAAATGGCTCAGGATGGCACTTACCAAGTGGCGATGGGACACCTCAAACCTTTACCCATACTCTCCAGAATAAGAATCCAATTCCAGCTTTGGCTGCCTGTTTCCACCGTCTGCTGGGATCCCAGAGAGAATAGGATGAGGCTATTTAATCTCTTCAGCATGTTCCATCATTCAGTAAGATCATTGCTGATCCATTAACTCCAAATAGCCCCATTCTTTAACACATCTTGATAATAAAATTCTAATAACCACAAGTTGACTGGGGATCAGTTGCTGTTTGTGGAAGCACGTTTGACCAGACTCCTATGTGAAGTGGTTGCCATTTAACTCCTGAAAGGATGTGTTTGGTTTGGATGTGAGGTGACTGACATAGTTGTCTAGCTCCTTTACCTCAGCAATAGCCTGAAGCTTGTGACATTCTAGTCAGGGAGACTCCTCTACAAACATTAACTCCCTTGATTGTGACTTAAATAAACACTTTGTATAACTCTTGCTTCTATTTGTGGTATGCAAGACTGAACTTTCCCAGCAATATTCCCTAAAAATGTTAACTAATTATCATTGAAGGTAGCCAGGTAATGGGCACTGTATGATTAGGGACTGGGATCACATATAGCAACTGTTACCCTGCAAGTCCCTGGAGAGAGAGGATGCAGTATCCAACAGTTTGTTTGACCAGTGGGTACGGTCGGACTGATGTACATCATTAACCTCAGGAATGACACTGCTATTCAATCATTTTTGTTTCAGAGCCCCTTGAAGGATTTAATTTGGTTATCATCATTTCTTCCAAACCACTAAGAAAAAGGCAATCTGCAAGGGGTGGTGATCATCATTTCTTCCCCCAACCAAATTTTAATTAGATTCCTTTCACAATTTGATTTTATTTTTGGTACAACTTCCTTTTAAGGTGCTACTATATCTGGTTCATTTATAGACAGGATCAATGCAGGAAGGATGTTCCCCGTGTCTGGGAGGTCTAGAACGAGGAGTCACATTTTAAAGGTTATAGGGTGGGACATTTAGGACTGAGATGAGGAGAAATTTCTTCACCCAGAGAGCGATGAGCCTGTAGAATTCTCTGCCGTTGAAAGTGGTTGAGGCCAAAACATTGAATATTTTCAAGGAGTTAGATACAGTTCTTAGTGCTAAAGGGGGAAGAGTGTGGGACAGGGGACTGAGCTGGATGATCAGCCATGATCATATTAAATGGCGGAGCAAGCTCAAAAGGCTGAATGGCCTACTCCTGTTCCTGTTTTTGATGTTTCTATTTTAAATTGGTTAATTTGCTTTAATGGGATTACTTTGAGAGTTTAAAGAGAGACACTGGTTAGGAGGTAGAGATCTGTGAATAGTTGATGGTGCCACATCAAAGGTTCTTGTTGCTGGTGTAATGAGCAACACATTGTCAGGGATAGAAGATTGGTTGGCTGACAGAAACAGAGAGTGGAGACCTGAACTCTACCGGCCATCCAGTGTTGCAAGGATAATTACACTATAAGCCTATAAGGAGCAGGATTAGGAGCAGGAGAAGGCTGTTCAGCCCCTCAAACTGGCTCCACCATTCAATAAGATTAGGGCTGACCTGACATTGCTCACATCCACTTTCCTGCCACGTGAGCAGTTACGCGGGGCCTAGGGTAAACGTACGTGGATCTCCGATCTTGAGTATTTCACAGAGGATGATGGTCAGCTGAATGCTGCCACGGCCAAACGGGCACTCGTGCTTGTCTTCACGGCTGCTGTTCTCCAGGACAAACTGTTGAGCAGAAAGAGAGTGTGTGTTTGTTTCAGGACCTTCCAACCTACTCACTGACCCCTCCAGAAAACACTTCGTGAAGACTCCAAGGCTGCTGGCTCCAACCAGGACCTGAGCCAGGAACAGCCATTCACATGACAGCTGTGGCCAATACTGATCAGCCACCTCACCGCATCCCACACACCTAAACAGAGACACTCGCACCCACACACTGACACACACCTATACACAGATGCACACGCTCACACCCACACACACCAACACACACACATAGAGATGTACATTCACACACATGCACACAGACTCTCACGCACAGCAACTCACACACAAGCTCACAGGCACACACACACCCACATACGGGCTCACACTTACGTACACACACAGGCTCACACTTACAAAAACACACACACAGGCTGACACTTAGACACACACACAGGTTCACACTTACATAAACACACACACACATAGGCTCACACTCACACACTCACTCACACAGGCTCACACTCACACACACACACAGGCTCACACTCACACAC